TAATTATATATATATATATATATATATATGTATCATACAAGTCTTTATTTTATCTCAATTCAGGCACTCCGGAGCTACCGCTTCCCGGTGCTTATGGGGGCAAGCAGGCAAGGAGTCGCCTATGGCTACAGCCCACCTGGTTGGATCATACCGACTTTATCGAGTGCTCGGCAGAGAATCCGGAATATGGCGAGCCACGCTGGCATGATCAGATCCAGCTGAATGTCACTTTTGCTCCACAGTTTCTCGGCATGCAGACTGGGGAGAAACGAGAGATCGTTGAAGGTAGGTTGAATAAAATTGATCGCTGCCTATTGTAGAGCCGTTGTTCAGGTGAAGATGCAGAAATAGTTGGGTTTCATGAAAAAACACATTATATTATTGGCCGATTCTCGCCTACAAACAGAAGTGTTTTTGCCTTAATACATTGAATCGGAATAAGAGAAATACTAGAAACAATCTTTTGTTCAAGGGGATGGATAAATATTTGCCACCAGATAGCTAAATAGGATTCACCTATGAATTTAATTACAACTGCATATAACGACTTTTATCGACTCAGTCGGATATGAGATGCTTTAGCGACTTGTAATTTGGCAACATACAGTCCTCTTGTTAAAATGTAAACTATTTTCTAAGAATCTAAATTTCTTACTTTCTGCTTGAATTATGATATTTTTAATAGTCACTAAGGTCAGATTATAAGGGGATTATTTACCATTTCATAAGTCGATTTTTAATGAGAATACCGCTTGTAAGTTTGGCCAGGACTGATTTTGTCCCTATAGGAGGCTATCGATGCCATGTAGTCAGGTTAATAATTTGCTTGACTTCGGACAGATATGATTAATATCTGTTGGTTAGATCCAGAAATGCTTAGAAAGGTTTTTGACTCCAGAAATAAGGTATAATTGTGGCAAAAGATGTTTCTTGGTTGAGTGATTCTTCAGATTTTCAAAATAAACAACTACATAATCACACGTTTTTGGTCTCGCCTAACCACTCCATCTGACTATAAAATTGATGGCCATTTTATGAATCCTAATTGCTTCATACTTTTTCGATTATCCAAATCGACGTCATTCTGCTATCGGAAACAATCATCATGCCTGTACAAGGTAACGTGCAGCATATTACGAATACTAGCACTGACAGACTCCGCTATAAAAGCAGTTTTATGATTATAAACACGTCAAAATAAAGGCTAAACACATATTCATCGAAGCTTCAACCTTAACCTTTACTTGTGATGGCATTATCATAATTTTCTAAGAGGGTAATTAACCAGGCTTGAGAAAATCTGATACCTTGTAGCTTCAAGCCTTCCATCGGGCTTTCTGAGTACCCTGAGTATGCAAAACTGATTTTGGCATGTAAATTTCAGATGGATACACAATGCTAGTCGTTTTTGCCTGACTAAAAAACTAAAATTTGTACCAGCTTTGTCCTGTTTGTTATAAAAAAACAGTAATTTACACAAAACATTTTTTCTGTTTTTGATTTATTTCTGCTAAAGTGCCCCTTATTATTTCAGAATTAGGATAGAATAAAGATATATCCGTAGCAAAGCTTGTTTTGCTGCTTGTATTTGTCGAAGTTGACCTGTAGAATACTGCTTTATAAATTTATCCATTTAATTGAACCAATAAATATGCCTCCCTATGAATTTGATTACGAGACTTGAGATGTACGACCACCGTGGCAACTTGCAATCAAATGCAATATATCACATTTAGTTTTACTGTGTAGAAATTTAGTATATCGATCTCAGTTTTATGAGGTAATGAAGGATAAGAGGAATTCATTTGTATTTTTTCCTATATTCATAAAAACCAAAAGGTGAAAGAGCGGATTTATTGATGGGTTGTAATCCTATGTCAAGGTAACTGGTGGATTTAGTTTGGAAAAACTAATGCAGTCCTGAATAGCATG